GAATGACTGGAGACATCAGTTATCCACTTTAATTTTTGACTAATATATTCACAGCATTTTAATTGATTCCAAATGCATTTTCTCTGTCCCATTATGTTGCCTTTCAGCTGTTGTGGTGAGGCAGAATACAAATTTGCAAGGAGGTGGAAACAGTCATGGCCATCAGAGAGGTTAACTACGTTCAGAGAGAAGGGGAATGGGAAGGTATTTGCAGAACATCTCTGGTCTTGTATTTGAAGAAACCACCTCCAAAACTCCCATACCCATTGTATGCAGCTACAGCCTGTGAACTCATGTCATATCTTCTCTCTCCTTTTTTTCCTTCTTTGAAGAGAAAAAGTAACTTGCACTCTCAAAATAATGATACTTAAAGGGAAACAAGGGGTGGGGAGAGAATCTCACTAAGGTCTCTTTTTGTTTCCCTCTGAGAGTATAGCTGGCTTTATTTACCTGACAGGAATTGCCTCTCTGTGTTTGTCTGAGTGGAAAGGTAGGTACACAGAAACGTTTGCCTGAAAATGAAGGTGGTTAGTGTGTAGGTGTGCATGGGGTTGCTGCCAGCTGCCTCCCTCTAGCCTGCAGAGGTCCAGGCTTCTCCCAGGATTTTCCCTGCCTGGGAAGTTCAGGAAAGGGAGATGGAATGGTGATGCCCGTGTTCAGATTCACCCCTTCTGCTGGACAAGAGCAAGGAGCTCAACGGATGAGGGGAGCAGATGAAGGAGAAAAATATTTGCTGGAGCGGGATGGGGAAGACAAAGGATCTACAACAATAGATCTGCAAATAATGGGCAGGATGAAGTGGTGCATAAAAGTGACCCCAGGTCAGCTGAGTGTTCCCAAAGCTCTCAGCACCCAAACTTTAGGAACTGGAGAGGACCAACAGAATGGAGAAGAGTGTTAAGCAAAAAACCTTTGTTGGCTCCTGAAGGAGAACTTCTCCTTGGCTCCTTCAGAAAAAAAGCATTGCAAAATATGGACCCTGCTCCAAGAATGTCCTCTCACTGCTGACCCCAGCCGTCTGTGATGTCTTGAACTGTTATTTAATCTCATTCAGACACAAGAAACTCCTGGAAAAGTCATCAGAAGTTTTGGTCCAGTAAAGACCAAGATTTGGTGACTTTCAGAATAAGGCTGTTTATTAGGAAACAAACAATTACTGGGCAACCAGCAAACTTCAGGAGCTAAGGCAGAAAGGAAAAAATGAAACGAATAAAAAAAAAAGTGATTTCAGGATCCTAAATGCTGGGAAACGTCTGTAAGTCAAACACCAGATGAGAGAGCTCTGTGAGTCCAGACAGCTGTTCTCCTGCAGCAGCCAGACACCAAGTTCAGACTCTGTCCCTGTGACACTAGCAGCTTTGCACACTTCAGTGAACTGTCACAGAAACTGAGATGCTCCCAGGGAGGGAGTTTTTGTTTTGTTGTGTTTTTCCCCACATCCCATCCTTTCCAGAAGCCCAGTCAGCTTTTTCTTAGACACCTTCAAATTATAAAAATAAAATAAAATAAAAAAGACCCCCAAAGCCCCTCTCTGTAGTTTGGGAACAGAAGCAGACTTTAAACAGGGGATTAACAAAGTGCCCAGTCACAATAATACTCAACAAAAAGTCTGTCTCCTCTGACCATTAGTTCATGGCACTGGTTGGAAAACCAGAAAGCTCCCAGTTAACTTTCCTGAAAGATTTTCTTTGGGAGCAATTGATAAGCGTTTTGTAGTTTATTAATTGGGCTGGGGGCAAACGGTCTATATGAGTTTTTTAGGGTCTGTAAGAGAAGCTAACAGATGGAACTGACCAGTAACGTGCATCTGGCAAGCCGTGTTTCTTATCAACTTTCCTCCAAACAACCCCATTTTGGTGGCTTTGCTGTTGTTTGAAGCTCCAAGCTGGCTGGTGCTGTGGCTGTGGGTCTGCCTGGACGGCGTGGGGAGGATGAATGGAGGGGCTGGGGTCGGAAAGAGGGGAGAGCTCTCCCAGGACGGGTCTCCTGCAGCGGGGTTATCCCCTGGCAGCTTGGGAAGAGATGAGGAAGGCATCAGCCCCTCACCCTGCACGTCCACAGCAGTGATAAAGGCACCCACAAGACTCAAAATAAGGGAGTCTGCAACCAAATCCTTTTCCCGCCTCTCCCACACTTGTAATTTTCTGGATTAAAAAAAAAAAAAAAAAGGAGGGATTTGGGGGAGAAGAGGTAGACGGACAAAGCGTCCCTTGGGGGAGGCTCTCGGGTGCTCCAGGGCCTGCCCTCTCATCGCGGTTTCCCCTTTCATGCGCGGAGCTGGGCTTACTTGATGTCGACGAAAACATCCCCTCCATAAAAAAAACCAAAACCAAGACCCAGACGGGACTGAAGTAACACTGAGCAAATGACCGGCTGGGGGAAATCCGCCGGGCCGGGGTGTGCGGTGAGCTGGCTGGGGTGGGGGGGTGCCTTCCCCCTCGCAGACAGGGAGGGGAGCTCGCAGTCAGGAGGGGGCTCAAGGTGTGCGAACTTGGTTTTGGCAGGTCTAAGCCATCCTGCTCACGCTGGCGGAGCACACGGTGCTCGCTGGCTCCAGCAGGGAGTTGTGAAGAGAGGAGGCTGCCCATTTCTATGCATTGTGGGGTGGTGTTTTTTTTTATTATTCTCTCAACTACCAAAATCTTGAGGAGTCCGAACAAAATTGAAACTTGGAAGAGTTCCTAGAATTTTCAGAAATATGTATTGGGGAGAAATATTTTTATTTCATTAACAATATTAGAATTGTAGGAAATCCCCCCTTCCTTCCCTCTTTCCTTTCTCTTTTCCTTCCCTCTTTCCTTTCTCTTTTCCTTCCTTCCTTCCTTCCTTCCTTCCTTCCTTCCTTCCTTCCTTCCTTCCTTCCTGCCTTCCTTCCTTCCTTCATGCCTTCCTTCCTTCCTTCCTTCATGCCTTCCTTCCTCTTCCACTTTTTCTTCACTTTCCCCTTTTCCTTCCCTTTCCACTTCTCCTTACCCTTTCCTCCTTCCTTTCTCCTTTTCCTTTTTCTTCCTTACTCCCTTTCTTCCTTTCTTCCTCTTTCCTCCTTTTTATTTTCCTTCTTTCCTCCCTCCCTTTCCTCCTTCCTTCTGCTTTCCTCCTTTTCCTTTTCCTTCTTTCCTCCCTCCCTTTCCTCCTTCCTTCTGCATCCCTCCATCCCTCCTTTTCCTTTTCCTTCTTCCCTTCCCATTGCCCCCCTACTTCCCGCTCCCGGCAGGAAGGGCCGGGGCTCGGGGGCAGCGCAGGCGCTCGGGAGGGGCCGTTCCCCCCCTCTCTGCCCCGCTGCTCCCAAGGCGGTTCCGCTGCCTCCGCGCGCCTTTGTCCGCTCGCGAGGAAGCGGCTGAGCGGCAGCTCCCGGCCGCGGCCCGGGGAGACACGGGTGAACCCTCCCAAACTCGGACCTGGGCGGGGGGAAGGGGAAGGAAACGGGGGGAGAGCCTCCCGCCTCTTCGCCGGCGGCTCGTTATTAAGACACCTTCGCAGCTTAAACGCTTAAAAGCGACCCAAATTAAACGGCAATTAAAAGCGAGTTACACCCTCTCCTATCTCCAGGCTGCTCGGCTGGGGAAGCCAGCCATCAGCAGAGCCACCCCGCCGGGAAATGCCGTCATCTGGGCTGACATCGTCCAGGGGGGCGTAGGGACCCCCCTGCCGGAGCTCTCCATCACCTCTGGGACTGGATAGCCAAGACCAGAGGGGCAGAGGGACCGGGGTGGGCAGAGAGGGCTTATCCCAGAGTGGGTGACACCTCGGACCGGTGTCCCCAAAGAAATAAATACAGAAATAACATACCCCTCCAGCTTCGCACCCCAGAGCTGCGCAGCCCCCCTACACTTCCACAACCACCACCATACATCGGCACTTGGAAATGTCGAAAGAGCTACCGGTGGTCCTTAGCTCATACGTCCCCTTCCCTATTTTTCCTTCTTCTTTTACAGATGTAATTCCATAGATCTATATGTATTTTCTGTATAATTCCATATGTCACTGCAGTGATACTCCGTGGTCTCACCCTAGGTTTATGTTTGAAAACGCTATTTAAAGAAGCCTGTAAGATAGCATATTAGGAAGCTTTAAAAGCAGGTTGGAGTGTGGGGTGGACTTAAATTCGATGTAAATGCAAGGGTAAAAAAAAAAAAAAAAAATCAAAACCCAAAACAAACCACATCGTTTTCATTTAGGAAAAAAAAATACAGTTAAACAGACACACATACAAATGTGCAATCTTAGATTCTGGTCAGTATTTAAAAGCAGTATAATCAACAGGAAGGAGCACTTACCTATTGAAAAGGATGGTTTAATGATATATATTTGTATATATTAGCTTTATGTCTTCCCAATAAAATGTACACAAAATACCCCCTTCGATCAGATTAGCTCCCATATTAGCCTGGGTAAGAAAAAGAATTCTAAAGAGTGGAGGAAAAAATGTATAAAAATGTTGAAAGAACCTACAGTTCCTTATTAGGCGAAGATACAATATTTATTCCTTGTCTCCTGGGATGAAGCTCCTCTATCTATTGTCCTCCCAGTTCTCAGTGCTGATGCTTAATTTTCAAAACTTCTATATTACCAAGGGACCTACGACATCAGCCAAAGAAATACCCAGCAAGTACAAAATCTGATCCAGGGAGCAGCTTTTGTGCAGAGGGAAAATTTTGTTCCTACAGGTTTTTAAGGAGGTGCATGGAAAAGCGAGAGATCTGATCTATGCAGATACATTGCAAATTCTCTCTCTCTGTAGAGATTTTTTCTAAAAAAAATTTGGGAAAATACACGAACTTTGGATTTTTCGAATTTTTTCCTTTTTTTTTTTTTTTTTTTTTAATTTGGAGTGGGGTATTTTATCCAGGGGGTTTGTGGGTTTTTTTTCTTTTTTTTTTTCTTTTTTTTTTTTTTTTTTTTCGGAGAACCAAAAAATGTCAACTACCTTTCCAGGTCTCGTCCACGATGCAGAGGTATTTTGTGTGTGTGAGTGTGTGCGGATGTGTGTGTGTGTGCGCGCGTGTGTGGATGTGTGTGCGCGCGTGTGTGCATATGTGTCTGTGGATGTGCCTGTGTGGTTGTTTCCATCTTTTTTTTTTTTTTAAATCCATATTGGACCGTTACATTTAATTATAATCCGGCTTCAGAGATAACTTAAAGAAGTATAGAGAGAAAATTCGTTATGACATCTGTCGCCAGAAAGGGCAACTCATTACCACGTTAAAACCGTTGCCAGAACGAAAATCAGAATAATACCCCTAATAATATAATGAAGTGGAGAGAAATCACCACCAGCTCACCAGGAATTGGGAGTTCTCACTAAAAAGCAGGACTCTCCTTTCTTTCGAAACGCAGGAAAAAGGGGGGGGGGGGGGGGGGAGAATTTTGGATCTGATTCGTTATTTTAAAAAGAAAGAAAAATAGGGGTTCAAAAAAAAAAAAGAAGGGAAGGAAGGAAGAAAGGAACAAGCAGGCGGCAAAGATTTCTCAATGTGTAACGCTGTAACATAGGGACGGGACTTGTGTGTATTCTCGGTAGTTTCCTCTGTTTGATGACTTTTTTTGTGTGTCAGCCCCAGATATTACAGCTGTGATCAGGAGGTGGATGGATAGACGGATGGCTGGACAGATAGATAAATAGAGAAGGTTTCTTTTTTTTATTTCAGTGTCTGGATTCCTTTCGCTTGATGGTATTAAGGGCAGGCTGGGCTATTTATGATTTTTTGAGCAGACCTTTATGGCACTAGCCCAAGGTAGGAAAGGCTCTTTTGTTGCTGGGGTTGCCGCTCGCAGGCTGAGAGGCTTCTGCAGGGGGGAAAGCTATGCAGGACAACGTGCTTGGAAGACCCGTACCCGGGGGTTTCAATGACAAACCTCCAGTTTTGGGGTCTTCTTTTCACTTCTTCCTTTCAGATACGTCATGACGGATCAAACAGTTACCGTTTGATGCAGCTTGGATGCCTGGAGTCTGTGGCCAACTCGACCGTCGCCTACTCCTCCTCATCTCCTCTCACTTACTCCACGACGGGCACCGAGTTCGCCTCCCCGTACTTCTCCACTAACCACCAGTATACCCCACTTCACCACCAGTCCTTCCACTACGAGTTCCAACACAGCCACCCGGCAGTCAACCCCGACGCTTACTCCTTGAACTCTCTCCATCACTCCCAGCAATACTACCAGCAGATCCACCATGGGGAGCCCACTGATTTCATCAACCTGCACAATGCGCGGGCACTCAAGTCCTCTTGCTTGGACGAGCAGAGGAGAGAGCTGGGGTGCTTAGATGCTTACCGCCGCCACGACCTGTCTCTTATGAGCCATGGATCCCAATATGGGATGCATCCAGATCAAAGACTCCTGCCAGGACCAAGCCTCGGGCTTGCAGCCTCGGGAGCAGACGATTTGCAGGTAAATAGCATGCGATCTCCTTTCGAGGCACCTTCGTCTCCCCTCCCCCTGCCCTGGTCCCCCCCTCACCCTCCCCGTTTTCCTCTGCTCAGAATAGTTCACATAAAGAAGGGAAGACTCAGCCAAAACCCGATCCGAAGCCTGTCTCTTCCAGGATAGTACCAACAAAAAATATGTGGGGAAAAAAGGCATGTTGTCTTTCTTGCCCCCCAAAAAAAACACAAAAAAAAACCCAAACCCAAGCAAACAAAAAATCCAAACAAAAGCCCAACCCAAACAATCCGTAAAACAATAAGCTCTCGTCTGATTTCCCCGCGTGTATCGTGTCTCCGTTGTGGCTGAGACCGTGGTACTCACCCAAAGGTCTCGGGGTGCGTATGCCAGCCCTCACCAAAGTCTCACAGCAAGCAAAATCCCAACCAAACCAAACTCAACCAAACCCAATCCATCTTCTCCCTTTTCCTAAACTTTTCCTTTCTTTCCGATGCTTAAATAGCTCTCCCCGACAGAGCAGGTAAATGTGTTAAGGAAGGGAGGGAATAGGAAAAAGATGGGGGGGGGGAGAAATAAAAGTAAAAAGCCAGGGCAAAGAAACAGATCTGTTTTCCGACGCACATACAAAGACAAACCTTCATCTGGTCTCCGAGGTATGAGGCAGGGAAGAAAAAAACGGGAGTAAACGTTCGTCAGAAATATTCAGTATGATAAAAATCCCTGGCTATATCCGTTCTAGATGTTAATAGGGAGAGAAATACAAGCAGATAACGCTGAATTCATCTGTCTGTGTGCCTAATCAGTCATCTATTCCCCCTAACCAGCATCTGGACGCACTAAAAAAGTATAGTCTATTTCTATGTATCAAAACCTCGGCTTTATCCGCTCAGAAATCCTTTCCCCTGCACTAAAAATTCACCTCTGGTAAACTAAGCTGGTTGTTTAAGTGAAATTTGTTTCCGAAATTGCAAACACCCCCCTCCTGTATCTGACATCCATTTCGGGAAGTCTCGCAAATCAAAAGCAAACCTTCCTTCTCCCGACGAGCTGAGGAGCTAAAGGCTTCCCTTCCCGCCAGCAGGGAGAGGCTAGCGGGACCGTATTTACTGTACTTACTTTTCCCCAAAATTTCACTCCCGGTCTTGCAAAGCTCCCTATGTTGGTCTGTCCAAGTAGACATAGCGGTCAAAGGCTCGAAAAAAAGAACACCGACCGAAGTTTGTAAAACTAAGGTTTATTTTCTTAACTTAAATACACACACGCACCAAAACAAACAAACAAACAAAAAATATGAAAAGCAAAAAAATATCAATTTATATCGGAGAAAAGAAATACCCCCTTTTTTTTCCTTTTTTTTTTTTTTTTTTAGGAAGGAAAATAACCCAACAACCCAACAACAAAGAACGTTATCTTTTCTATCTCTGAGGAGAAAACCCTAAATATTTAAACCTAGCTTTCTCCATTAGAATTCACTATACCATTTTATCCTCTGTGGCCATTTTTTTTTTTGTTGTTTACATTTTTCACAAGGATCTCCTTATGTTACCCCCTTACAAAAAAAAAAAAAAAATCTGCCATTCATTGCTCAGCCCAACTAAAACCTATTTACTCCTTTTTATAACCACGTCTGCTGCTGATTTTTTTGTATCTGTACAAATTTTTTTTCTTTGGCAGGCACAAAGCCTTGTATTTTTCAAAAGAAGGGATTAGGAACGTTTGCAAGACAGCAGACAATGCCTAAATCCCGGGCAAAAAAGCACCATAGTTTATCCAATTTTCGACTTAGTGCCATTCAACTGGTCATTTATGCAATGTCATCCGACCAAACAACATGTTTCCCTTTAAGGAAAAAATAAATAAATAAATAAATTCGGTTAAGCTGCTAGAGGCATATTCCTTTTTTATTTAGTTAAAGAAGAAAGAAATCAACAGCTTTTATTTCGAAAATACTAATTTTTCGATCACACTTTATTCGAAAGTGAAAGACTTGGGTCTTTGTACCTCATCTATGCTTTATTTTTCCTCCTCCCTATTTCTCCAAGCAGAAGAGGGAGTGTACTCAGGAATCGAAAAGCCTGAGCAGTGAGAAATTGAAAGTATTAATGTTGTCGTTCTGATTTAGATGGTCCCGAGCAAACTTGGACTCTTGCGAATATCGCCTTGTGCTTAGAGGGAAGCGTTTTGGTGGTGAACAGAAACAGGACTGTCAACAAACACTTTTAAACCCAAATTATGGTCTACCCAGTCCCCTTAGTCTTTCTTTTTAAAACGTTCATCAGCATATGCCTCATTTCAAATGCAACAAATGTAAATATACTTTTCCCTGCACAGAATTTTAAGTGAATGTCCAATAGTTTCGAGGGCGGTTTAAGTCAGCCTAACAGATGCAAACAGTCTTGGAGCTGGAGTGGCATCTTTCAGTGCCCTAAAAAGATTTTCCATGGGCAACAAAGAAAACTGTCACACCTTTTCCCATCACCGCTTTAATTTATGCTCAGTCGCCAAGTTTTTTTCATATTGATTTCATAATCACTTTAAGGCAGAACACTTAAAATAAAAAAGAGCCTTGAAAAGGAAGGTCTTACAAGGCCAGGGCCAATATGGTGAAAGTGGGGGAGAGAGCCAGGACTGTAAAGATTGTTTTGTAAAGTGGGGTTTTTATTATGCACCGACTCTCTCCGCATTTACTTAACTCTTCACGGGCTGTTGAATAGGTTAACACCCTTAAAGGCCTCTTTCATGTCCAATACCTCGTTTGTTTGTAGAGGAAAATGCGTCTTTAACACATTTCCACTGGGCAAAGATTTAGGTTTGGTTTGTTGTGTTTTTTTAACCCCAACATAAGGAAAAACCCAAAGAAAAAACAACCCTTTCAAGTCTTTTATCGTTTCAATAAAAATATTTATTAAGGAAGGCGAAGATCCCCAGATAATCAGACTTGTAACAGGAGAATAAAGAAGTGAGATCTCTTCGGATGTGCACCAGAAGCCTCGGGCAGGTTTTTGGATTGTTCTTCACCCCACGCTCACACATGGGTGCTTGTGTGTGTATTTGCACAGATGCATATTCACCCCCACCTATGTGCGGACACACACATTGTCACAACACCCTTACGACTCTGTGTAGCCGGCAGAGCCCAATAGGTCTTCTGTTGTTTGTGTTCTTTGTCTACTTCTGTGCGCACTTTGTAAGTTGGTGTCTACGTGTCACGAAACATTTATATGAATTTGACTGCATGTATATATATACAGCTAAACATACAAAAATACTATATAAAAGTGTATTTTTACTTTTGTGTGTGGCCCTGTGGAGCAGAAACACACTTTCCTTTGGAGGACCTTTTCGTCTCTCTTCCCTGTGGCTATAAGTCTCCATTTCAGGAGAAACACGTATTTAAATGTCAATGAAAGTGTTACTTATTCCACATTTCGGTGGTTAGGGGCAGGCTGCGGGATGGTTGTGGGATATCCCCAGACCACTTGAGGTCCAGGAGGGTAACTGTGGTTTTCCACCTCACCTTAACTATTGTTCCTGAGCTAATCGTGTAACAAAGCAAAAGCTGTGATCTCTCGGTGGGTTTCTGATTTCTTTCTTTCTTTTCTCTCTTTTTTCT